AAGACTTGCAGCAGAGTTCCCGCTGCGTTTCCACACGTGCACTCCAGTGTGTGCTAACATGTGTTTAAATGCACAGAAACCAACCGTACACACACACACACACACACACACACACACACACACACACACACACACACACACACACACAGATATCTTGTTAACATGCATGCTGTGTGTGTCAACTGTCAGTCTGTCTGTCTGCTGTTTGACTCCTGCAGGTTTCTCTCGGCTTGTTTCAGCTTGAAGAACATTCCTGCTAGCTGCAGCTGTCACACACACACACACACACACACACACACACACACACACACACACACACACACACACACACACACACACACACACACACTCACAAGTTTATGCACTGACGCCTAAAACACACCTGACATCTGTCGTGTGGCAGAGCACACCTAACACCTGAAATGGGGTTCAAAAGCATTACATTTAACCTGAAGCTAGTTGCAAATCAGCAGAATTAGAATACTCGGTTCATATATATATATATATATATTACATATATAAACATAAGAAGTTAAAGGTGGGGTAGGTAATTCACTTCAGAAACACTTTTTGTTATATTCCATGGAATGCTCTTAACATCCCGATAGCAATGAATATATTAAATGCTTTGACAATAAATACATAAAAAAAGTCATCTGTGGAAGCCGTACTGTAAAAAGCACGACCAATCATCTGAGCCGGCCCGGCTAAAGTAACTGGATGGCCTACCTGCCTGTCAGCCTTCCATCTGTGCACAAACTTATCTCGTGCCCTCATTGGTCATGTTCGTGTGTGTTGGAGGAGGGGCTCTGTAAGGAAGGGGCGGATTTTTTTCGGCTGCGTACTTTCAAGTTCTAGCGCACTCGAGCTGGTTTCTCCATTCTTACCTACCCTACCTTTTTAAGTAAAAATTAGCAATAAAATGTCCAGATCAATAAGAACTTAACTTGGTTCAGTTCGATCAACTTGCTCCAAACATTACAGCTTCTTAATCAAACTCACATTGAAAAGCAAATTGAGATGTTTATTAGCAGCTGCGTTTAGTTGAGTTTGGCGTCTGGACTCCGACCTCATCTCTCCCCAAACCAACATTGTCTCCGTGTTTCCAGAACTCCTCTGACGAGCTCCAACGACTTCACCTCCACCAAGAGCCGAATCATCCAGCTGTGCCTGGAGCTCACCTCCACCGTGCAGAAGGTCAGTGCATCTGCTCCAATAAACCTCATCAACATCTGATGCTCTGATGTCTCCTGTGTTAACGAGACATCAGAGACGGAGAGAAGCTCCTGACCTCTCGTGTTTTCACCCCCCGGGACTGATTATCTCAGGCTTTGATTCTGATAATGACTTCTGTTTACAAGTACAAAGTCCTTTTGAAGACGATTCCCTTCCAGATATCAGCGTTACCAAAACAAGCAAGAACAAGAGGGACATTTCAAATGTTATATTCTTAAATTATTCATGACCATTTATTTGTATTTGATTTATTATATTTGTTTATATTGTATTATATATAACTGTCAAAAGATATATCAAGAATCATTTTCAAAAATATACATCATTGAAAAAACAATATAGCTCTTCAGGTCGTGCACATGTCCAAAAGCTTCTGAGACTTTCACACGTGTAAAAGACGATACATAACAAGAACGAACACAGACGACGGCTTCGGGTTCGGGTGCATATAATCATTTGTGTGTTTTGTGACGCTCGTTAAAGAGGGCCAGCTGCAGAGCGTCTGCAACAAGTGTTTGTTTACAAAGAAACCCAGAGCATCCAAAGTGCAGGAAAGAGGTGTTGAACCCAAGCCCCCAGGAAGTGCGCCGGAATCTGAGGAAAATATTCGTTGTGTCCAAAGGGCGGTACTACAACTTCCGTGACGTCCCTGGGCCCGGAAAGACTTTTCCCCATTGACTAACATCGGGAAAGAGACGTCTGTAAATCGTTGGATAATTTTTTTTTAACTAAATGAACTACCCAGTATGAACATTTGTATAGCCCTTATTAAAAACATTCGGTCCTCAAGTTGTAAAATGTGCTAATAACGTTATTCTGAGAGTTATTTTCCTCTGCATTATAAACGCGCATCTGAGAGTGGGAGCTCGGGGGCGGGGCTTAAGGGGCAACTCAACTGTGCATGCTCTGTGAGCGCACATACGGGTTCTTCTGCTCTGACAGCTAGGCATGATGGGTAATCTGTGACGTTTCACTCTCTCAAAAGTTGGGCCATTTTGTCTTCATGCGCCAATGAGCAGCTCTCATAGGAAAGAACGAGACCCCGCCTCCCACGCTGAACCCAGTTCTTATTATACATCCATGCTTGAAACCATTTCAAATCAATATCTTTGACAACACAAGTCTGAGCATGGCAACATCTTTAACGAGACGTTTATGGTGAGACAGGTGAAGTAGTTTAAAGTAGGTAGTGGTTAGTAGTTTCTGAGGATGCATGCTGGATATCTCCTGTCACCTCCCTGTGTGTCTCTGCAGTGTCTCTGCAGTGTCTCTGCAGTGTCTCTGCAGCGCTGAGGCGTGCAATCATCCTGTCATCGTGTCACCACCGCAGGAGGAATCCTCTCTGTGAGGCGTTCAGGGTCCCTCCTTCTGGTTTCACTCTCCTGTAGGCTGTCATTGCTCAAATATTTGTTTCCCGCTGATTCTCTTCCCTCTCTGTTTACCCACGCTCAGTTCTTCTTCACACAGACGGAAAAGCCAAACGCTCTCATTTTATATGACGGGGTAGAAATTCTGCCTTTTTTGAAACAAACCAAAACCTGTTTCTGGTGTTCATCTGTGTGCTGTTTGTGATGTAGCACATATCTGCAGTTCAAAAAAAGCTTAATTAAAGGACGAGGCTGGTGTTTTTAAACTGTTCTTATTTTCCCATGAACATACACGTATCTCTCGATACTCTCTGACTTTAATGTTCCCATTATTCTCTTTACAATCCTCTTTAAATCGAGTTATTCTATTCAATGTGTTCCCCCTAAAAATACAGAATATAAAGCTTTATAATAAGTAGAGATGTCCCGATCCGATCACGTGATCGGGGATCGGAGCCGATCACGTGATTTTCAAAAGATCGGAATCGGGAGAGAAAAAATCGGGGATCAGGATTTTTATTTTTAAAATACTTTTTTTAATAATGTATTTAATGTTACAAAACAAAAATGACCATGTTCAAGTCTTAAAGTCATCCTGAGGCCTTAGTTTTGGTTTCAAATTACAGAACATCATGTATGTGTTGCTTCTTTGGGGCTTGTTCTCATAGACCTGGTTGCTTATTTCTCTCAAATCTGGCAACAGAGTGGGCGCAGTGTCTAATTGTAGCAGTAAGCTAACGAGGACTGAAAGCTTTATTTTGTTTTGATCCAATGCTGCACAACTGAACTGATCCAATGCTGCTGTGAAAGAAAGAAGCTATATCCATGTTGGATAGAATATCCAATTTAAATAAAAAAATAACCTTAAGGGACAACTTGAATGCTTTTTTTCTTTTTTTTCTCTTAATGCATTGCATAAAGATCGGATCGGGAAAAATCGGTATCGGCAAATTGTCAAAGTCAAATGATCGGAATCGGATCGGGAGCAAAAAAAGGTNCACACACACACACACACACACACACACACACACACACAACACACACACCACACACAACACACACACACACACACACACACACACACACAACACACACACACACCACACACACACACACACACACACACACACACACACCACACACAACACACACACACACACACACAACACAACACACACACACACACAATTGGTCAAGAAGTCCCAAATTCCTTCGACCCGGGAGCCCCGTCTATTTGCCGATCGGGAACAAAACCCAAAGGTCAACAGAAACAATAGGTCCCTCAAGTGAGCTCGCGAATAGAGAGAGATTATTGCCACCCGGAAATGCGCACCAATAGCTAGTAGACCTCCTTTACTTTGTTGCAACCAACTTAATCATGTTTGATGAACTTGATGTTTTGTAAAACTTAGTATAGTTCAAAGGAGTAAAAGGAGTTAACAAGTATAAACCAACAATTTTATTACTAAATAACAAACCTAGCACATTTCTTCTTTTCCTCCTCTGGAAAGACGATCTCTAAAATAATCACACTACGTGGAGACGGAAGGACAGTAGTCCTCAAAACTTTCATTACGAGACATTAGCTAATCTCTAACACGACTAAGGAAAATTATAGCTAGTGAACCAGATATTGTGTATCTAAGTAAACACTTTTACAGATATTTGAAATCCTATAAAACGTACTTATTGAAAACAACTTTTACCAGATTTTTTTATTTTTCCAATATCATTTATTCAGAAATATTTTGAAGATCAATTTACATTGTGTACCCAGTTTTGGGGGGTTTTATAAGTAAAAAAAGGAGCGGGCCCTCCCGAGAGGACCTCCTCGAGATTGGCTCCTCTCTCACTCAGACTCACTCACTACTCGCTAAAAAAATTTATTATTACTACGTAAATACATATTATAGGTAAAAAGGTTCTAATGAAGGTAAATGTTACTTCTTTTTATTTTGCTCAATATGATTCTTTGCTGTCTTGTCTTTCGTTAAATTAGTACTAACATTTCAGGGCTACAGGACGAACGAGCACAAGAATTGGGCGGGGAACACACAGACATTCGAACCGTCACTTGCCAAGACTCTCGGGTGTTTTGGGAGTTTCAACGTGGGACATCCCTCATTGTGAGATTTATCTCATTACTGGACAGACGGGGGTCCTGCGGAGCACGATCCCTTAAGGAGCGTCTACCCCCCTGCCCACACGCTACAGAGCGATTCTGGGGTGCGTCGTTGGTTCTTGGTGTGGTCATTGGGCGTCGAGGTGACAGGCGAGGCTCGTCGCTTCTGGGACTTGCAGTGGCGTTGTGCGTCCCCGTGAGTCTGGGGTGCCGCGTCTAAGAGTAGACAAACAGGAACTGACCCACAGTAAAGGACCAAACGATTTGTTTTGCGGTAACATTGTGTACTAGTGACTACAAGTCGACATTGCCACCACCTAGTAGTCTTGTCTCACTCGCTCGACTGGTTAGTCTCGTGTCACCCGAGTGTCCCTCCCCCCCCCCTCGTAGGTTGTTCGGCACATCCTGTCGTCTCACTTATGAGTCTGTATATGTCTCTACGACCTATACTCTTTTGGTTACACTCAAACCTTGTACTTCGTTACACTTAGATAAGATCATCTCGATTGTTACCTTGATACTAGTCATCTTCCGGTACTGTACCCTGGAAATTTCGTTATAGACTACTCCGACTTTTGACTTAACAACACAAGTTTTCACTTCACAGAAATCATACAGATCGAAAAGTTGGAGAACTCTATAGTTTAACTCTTATAGTCTTCTTTTTTTTAATTATTAATGGCTTGTCAATTTAACGTCACTTCCGTACATTAAACACCCATAACAGGTGTCATGTACATACTATAGTTACACATGAACATTCGCGAACTACGAGCTTCCACACCTTCTTACCTCCTCTCAGGAAAGACTCCTCGAATTGCTCAGCCACACACACACACACACACACACACACACACACACACACACACACACACACACACACACACACACACACACACACACACACACACACTTATAATTATTCTCACTTTACATTCGGACAGAACTACAAAATAGTGGCGGCAGGGAAGCCACAAAGCCCTGAGTAGTGCAGTGGCATTCTGGGAAATGGAGTCCTTGATGTCTTCTACTGATACCTCTCTTAGTAGTTTAACAATGTTATGTTCTTTATCACTTCTATGAGGAAACTACTACCGAATAAGTTCAACAAATTAAAGTGGTTCTGTAATTTTAAGCACCTTGTGTTCCTAATGGATCAAAACAAAACTATGAGGATTTTATTACACAAACATCTTGTTTTCTCTTTGTGTGAAACACACGGTTCTTATCCTCTCAGTAATAACAGTGCTGTGTGTTACTACTACTGGTCTGTAGTAATGATAATGTGTGTTATATTTCTTGGATCTCTGACAGTCCACTAAACGATCCGACTAAATAACATATCTTTTCAGAACAAATTGTACCGAGTATCACGCTGGTGTTTCTGTTCAGTTAATGTCTCTTTTTATTGGATTACACAGATACATAAGAGACATTACAGTGTGCGAAAAAGCACACGTCCGATCGTCCGGGACGTGTGCTTTACAAGTACATCTTTCCATTGACGTGTCCGACGGAGAAGTGATGTTTTTCGCCCATATTTATTGACAAAATATTCGAAAATGTTGGGAGGGGTGCCTAAGTTCATTACATATTATCAAATGGAATCATTCAATGTATACGACAGTGCCATAGCTAAGTGTGTTAGGTCTAAAGGTGTGTTTTGCTCCGCTCACCGGTCCCTTACAGCGGGCAGAGCTGCAGGTGCTGATCCCTCTCTCTCTCGCGTCCGGTTATACTTCACTCGTGTTTATGTCCAAATCCATCAGATCTAGCTAATGATATGGCTGCTGCTCTACAGCTGGCCTGATTGTGAATCGCCTCTCCGCTGAGTAGACATGCTCATATTCTTAATGAAGAATGAGTATTGAAGAGCTGCATTCTGTGATAGGCCCTGTTATAGGTTGTTGATCTCTGTTGTCACGGGTTACGGGTTACCCTAACCCGTTACAGGCCTATAGCTGTCAACTGTTCAAACTGTGATCACCAGTTCAATACATTTCACAAATTCGACTTGGTTTCTATACTTATTTGAAACGTGCCTTGATGGTAGAAGTTGAGGAACCAGACACTGACACTGTGCTAGGACTACTACTACTAGGGTATAATTCTTGTATAGCATTTTTCTTGCTAAATATGAACAAATAAACAATAAAATGTTACCTTAGTTACAGTAACCCAGATTCTTGTATGCTTGATGTTGATATTTAATAACATTTCAAATGGGTGCAGCATGCACAAAGTATAGCTATGGACAAGTGAAAAATGTATTCGGACAAGTATTGCCAAACTCACTTGCCCATGGACAAGTACTCTCTAAAAACGTGCTCTTACACTTGATTAAAACACCACGACCGTCTGAAGCAGAAAGCTACGGCCTTGGACAAGATGTTTTATAATAGACACTCATTCTAAAAGAGAAAGAACACCTTGGTACAGAGCGGTGAACAACGAGATTCTGCTCAGAAGATACTGAGGGTTTTCTGTTGTGGCTGAAACGGCCAACGCTGCATATCTAACATTACAGAGAATACAGATTCTAAATACCTTCAGACTGACTCAGGCTCTCGCTCGGCCACAAACATCTCAAATATCTCCAGTGTTTACGTCAGCTGATCAGAGGCATGTTTCTGGCGTGCTTCAAGGATTAATGATAGCAATGAAATCCTTGTTTCACAGTTCAGTTTTTTTACCATGTTTTGGTGGTCGAACATAAAAATGCATACTCGCAGTAATCTAGAATATGAACAGCAGATTAATCCATAATAGAAATGAAAAACCTTAGTTAAAAGCACCACATAGCTCCAAACAATATATATTTAACGTTTACTTTTTAGATATCAAATAATGTGACTTTTTGTGACATATTTTTAAATTAATATCTATTTTCACATGTTTTCCAAGGCTGTATTTGGCCGTTTAAGTGTTAGTGACGGTCGGGTCATGTTAACCTCTGCTTCCTTTAATTATATGATATGGGTAATTCATTTAGGAGACATTCAACAGCCAGAAACACAACACTTTATGTTAAATTCTTATTTTGTTCTACCTGCTTTTTCCTCCCACAAAAAAAGGCATGTACTTGACACGTTACTGAAACGAATTGAGTTTCTATTGTGAATTATGTGTGGACTAAATAAGCCATAACAGTCATCATAACATCAGTCATTGATATAAAGTATTCGGTGTTGTTGATAGTATTTTAATGATAATATCACGGCCGACAGGAGCCAATCACATCCCAGCAGATGTGTTTTAGCCCCGCCTCCTGTGTGTTGTTTCCTGACAGTTAGGATTCAGGTTCAAAAGTGATGAGTCAGCTGTGAGAGGCTTCCTGTTGATGCTGAGTCACCTCTCAGAGACAGAGTTAGTCAACTGAAGGTAACCCTGAGTGTCTGAACTCTACACAGGATTAACATCTTTTCACGAACGTCCTGTTTGCAACTGTCTAAAAAACACTTTCTACGAGACATCATTTATGGATATTTCATATTATGATCAATGCATATCTATAACAGTGCAAAACAACTGATAAACTGTAACCTTAATAGTGAATAAACTATTACTATTTTGTGTAAACAGAGCCATGTGATCAAAGTGTGTTCAGCTCACACACAGGATGTTTAAGGGGATAGTGTTGTTGGTACGACTGGGTTTTCTGCATGTTTTTAACATCACATGTCCCTTTGTTAGATGCTTGTATCCAAAGTGACTAACATGCATTCAATACTGTGGGAAACCCCCACAAGCAACCGGACTCAACAACATGCTGACTGCGGTGCTGCTACTCCTACTGTGGGAAGTTCTCACAGACCGACTGCAGAACTCCCTCACATGCCATCAAACAAGATAAAGAAAATGTATCTTTTATTATGAATTAATCTGCACATTTCTAGGTAAATGACCTTGTGGTTTGGTCTTACTGGGTTTATGAATGCACCACTATACACCAAAACAAATTCCTAGCATGAGCAATTAACATGATTCTGATATTGTATTTTGTTGTTTGAACTAAAGATATTTTCTCTACTATGGGTTAACCTACCAAATATATATTAGTTTTATAGATGAATGCTTTATAACGGTGTGTTAGTGATGCTCCAGCAGCAGCTTGCAGTGTGTTAGTGTATACATGTGTGTGTCGATCTCTCACTCACCGCGATCAGCGTGCTGTTGCGGCTCTGCTCCGCCGCGCTGCCTCCACTCTCCCCGGCGGCCTGGTGCTCTCCCCCGGCTCCTCCCTGCACCCTCTGGCCGGCCCCCTGGTCCCTCTGAGCGGCCTGCTGCTCCCTCTGCTCCCCGGCACTGCTCTGGGGCTGCCGGTGCTTGTTGGACCGCTTCGCTTTCGCCTGTAAACATCTCTGGTGCAGGTTGAAGGTCTGCTGGCGCTCGTGCTCCAGCCGCTCCAGCGTCGCGGTGTCGTAGCGGCTCTCGCAGCTGTTGTGATGCTGCCGGAAGTGCTCGATCCTCCGGCGGAGCCTCTCCATCACCGCGCTGTGTCGCGGTGTAACAAAATCCGCCATCATCAATAAAAGACTCTCTCTCCACAAAAAAAGGAAAAAAAAAAAAAAAACTCCCCCGTCTCAGGTTTCGTCCATAAAAATGCTGAATCTGGCTCTTTTCTCACCCCCCCTCTACAAAGACTCCTGTGCTGGCTCCATGGAGGCGACCTTTGTCTTGCTAATGGCCTTCAGTCACACTCACTGCCGGGGAGGAAAATTAAGGGTTTTGAGTGCAACACCATCCAGCCTGCTGATTCTTTTTAACTCATTTTAAACCTTATTTATCATTAAAACACACAACAGCCAGTTTAACGTGCTGTGTGTATAAACAACTGGAGTCTTGTTAGAGCCACTTTTTGAGTTTAACCCCAAATCACAAAAAACACAAACAAAATCCCTGCTTGTTTAATAGTAAATACATCAATTTACACTAACCTTTCGATTTGTTTAAATCAATGAAATAACGCGATATCTTGTTATCAAACAAACTCCCGTTGAAGCTAAGTGAAGTTAGCAGCATTCCTCCACTCCACAAATCAAAGCGTCGAGAAATCCTCAAAAACGATAATTTAAATCATTGTTCGGACATTATCTTACGTTAGACTTTAACTCCACGTCCCCCTCATTTGTTTAAAACAATGTTGCCCTCCATGGGAGCATCATAACAGGTCTCTAACTTATGTCAAACTTGTATTTGTGTCCGAAGTATTAAAAGTAGTTAGCTTTGGTTGGCTAGCAACAAGAGGCTAGTTAGCTCGCTGGTTAGCAACTTCACAAACAAGATTTTAAAACCACTATTCTATACGATAAAAACAAACAACACCTTACAGAAAATGTTATTTAAACTCACTTACTGTGAAAGCGTGGCTCCTTTCTTACAGCATCTGTCTAGAAAACAGCTGATCCTCCGCCTCCCTGTAGCTGTTAGCCGTTAGCTGCTAACTCTATGTTTTCTGGTTAGACTGGCAGAAGAGAACTCCGTTTCCCAGAATGCACTGCGACCAGAGGTGGAAGAAGTACTCAGATTTTGGACTGAAGTAACAGTACCAGAGTGGAGGAATACTCTGTTACAAGTAAACATTCATGATATTACTCAAGTAGAAAAGTATTAGCATCAAAATGTTACTCAATTAAAAGTAGTCATTGTGCAGATTGGTTCATTTCAGAATAATATATATGATATGTTTTATAACGATTGATCATTAAAGTATCCTCAAAGCTGGTAAAGGTGCAGCTAGTTTGAATGACTTTGTATACTGCAGGGTAGCTTGTGAATTTACTCCAGGTGGAACTAAAGTCTGATTTAACACTTAATTATATTCCACATCATTCATCCACATCTGTAAAAGTAATGTTTGTAAAGATACCAAAAGGTCCTACATTTACAAGAATGTTGACTTCAAATGTTCTCAGGGATAATCTTGTTATGATAAAATTCCTCATAAACAACAGTCATCAGAACAGAGCATCATACTTTAAATACAGTGGAGTAAAAGTACAATATTTACCTCTGAATTGTAGTGGGGTAGAAGAAGTACAAAGTCCCAAAAAATGGTAAGTAAAGTACAAGTATCTCAAAATTGTCCTTAAGTACAATACTCGAGTAAATCTACCTAGTTACTTGTCCGATTTGACCAATCGGAACGGAGCATTCCACTAAGTAATATTTAGTTACTTTCTCTGTAGAAAAATGCTAACATTAGCTCAGTTAGCACAGCCTGAAACGTCTAAATAAAGCATCATACTTTATGTGTATTTCTCCATACGGTCCCGGATATTCCTCCCCGCCCAAATCGGGGTCTGTACGCGCAGTTTGGAGCGGATCAGTCCGGTTAAAACGGGATAAACTGCGTCCCTTCTGTTTCTGTCTCTATTGTTATCCAGCGGACAGGCAGGGCTTCTCCGCCATCTTGGTAACTTTCTCTTTTTTTTTTTTCCATCAGAGACAGGAGAGGAATGTCCCTTAGCCCGTCCACACCGGTGATTGACAGCGCAGACGTCCAATAGAGAGCGAGGGAACGCGGTGATGTGAACAGAGAGAAATGAATGAGTAACGCTATAACTGATAAAACAAATACTAATATATTTAGCTTAACCATTCCTACATTTAAAATGAAAATTCTGAATGTAAATATACTCAGAGATTTTTGGGTTATTTTAATATATTTGTGATTTTTTTTCTGTCGTAAAACTTACCACAGTTTATCCAAAATGAAAAGATAATTCATATTTCTTTCTCGCTAATTGTAATCACTTTAATCTCACGGTTCCTTTCAGAGAAAAGGTTTTTACATTTAAAATACATATTTGGACACTATTATGTCCGGCAGTGTCACAGTCAGTAGGGGCTTGGACTGTGGATAATGTAGGGTCGCCGGTTCAAGTCCTCGAACAGACCTCATTCTGTTTGTAAAAACCTACTTAACTATTTGAAGTAGAGACACTGATATACTGATATACACCTGAACATCAGCAGGAGAGGACTATTTAAAGTAGAGACACTACATACCAATATAAAATACAACATCTGGTTCAGTTTCCATTTGGCCTTTTTATTCATCAAAACAAATGTAGACTGTGTGTCCACGCACGCACACACACACACACACACGAGGCTCCATCATCACAGTATCTCTCTACAATAGTGTGGACATCAGAAACAGGCTGCAGGGACAACCATTAAAGATTTAGTTCAAAAAACACAAAAAGAATGTCGACAAAAAATAATAATAAAACGTTACACCAGCAGATACAGTGTTCAGTCTACAGTCGGTTGCTAGGCAGATTCAGCCGGACACAGAAATAAATCTAAAAAAAAATAAAAAAAGGCTGAAGACATTTCGGATGGGAATGTAACGCTGCTGCTGCTGGAGGAGATGATCCTAGCATTTACTTTATTTTAGAAAAAACATCAGTTTACAGCCAACTAGCTTGTATTTAGACTAAAAAATAAAAAAGGAGGGAAATAATTAAAGGTTGTGGAAGCCTCCAAGTTCACCTCGAGCCCCAAAATCAGCCACAGACTCGGCTGTTATGTTCCCCGCCGCCCCCCCGCCGATAACTTAGCAAAAAGCTCTGCATTTAAGATCAACAGGTTCTTCAGTCCGGAGAAAACTGTACGCAATGATTACAGACAAGGATATACAAGAAGACTGGACATCGTGTTATTATCCCGACACACGTTCAACACGCACAGAACCAGGTTTAATTATTTCACTGTACACACACACACACACACACACACACAGACAGAATGACGCTCTTTCATCTGCATTATAATCCTTAGGATGATGAATATATAAAGAAAAAACATAATTTAGTATTGTTAACGGTTCATGGGATTATTTCTCATGTGGAGAGAAACTGTCCTGATGGGGGCGCTAGAGAGACGGTCAGGAGGTGTAAAGGTGAGGGATTGTAGGTAAAATGTTTTATTACGAAACCAGGGAAGGAGGGGGGAAATCTGAATACTCAAATATTGTCAGATATAATTATTATTTTGTCTTTTAATTTTTACATTATTTTTTTATATCAGAGAACTTTTTTGTCAGTTTTAATTTTGTTGTGGTCAATTTACAATTTAAATCTACGTTTTTTCTCTCCAGGATTTCATCCCAATTGTCTTCCCCGTATGTAGATTTTTTAATACATTTTTACCTTTTGCCAGTTCTTTTAAATGCAGCAGATTACGACTGATTTTCTTCCTGTTTGTCGTGACATGTAAACATGTACAGGTAACTACAGCAGATTCAACGGCGGTCAAAATAAACAAATAATTCTGATTCAAATGTTGAGAAATTGTTTGATTTCACTTGACTTTTCTGGAACCTCATCCCATGGTCTTAATTAGTGGATAAAGTTGATTAATCTGGCAAAAGAAAAGCCAGCTTAGGTATTTCTATTTAACTAGTATCCGTAGGTTTGTCACACTCAAGTGCCGTCTCTGATGAAAACTTGGGCCTTGACGTGGAGCAGGTGAGAGCTGCAGGTGGACAGGTGAGAGTTAAGCACCTGAGGTTTCCCCCTTTTGTGCAGTTTCTTTTAAATTTGGAGTTTAAAACATGACAAAGGGGCGGGGGGTCCGTCCACCTGCACACGGGACGAGGTTAACATACAGGTGCGTTTAAAAACACCGTACAAAGAAAAGTTGGATCTGAAAGGAGCTTTAATTGGATGGGCGCTAACGAGCTGCTGTCATGTTTATTTGGACAAAGAAAGGCCTTAGAAGTAAAGGAATAAAGAATAAAATTGACAAGAATAATGATTTTAATACGATTTATCTGGGTGTATAAACGTATGCAGATGCTACAATGTTAGCATAGCGCTGAAGGACCAAACTCCATTCAGAAAACATCTGTTAGATACGTTTATTGTGAATAAATCGGGTTATTTTGGGCCGTATTGCTGCAGTTATTCAGCGGCGTGACGGGAGGTTTAATACGTTGCCATCAGTCGCTCATCTGCTGCGAAGGCTCTTTTTAGTTTGACCTCTGACTTTCCAGCGCTGCCATCAGGACAATAATACACATCAGGAGATCTGAGGAAAACATGTGTGTGAGCTAACATGGAGCTAACAGCTTTAAAACAAAACACGATTCAATGACAAGGAAATTAGAACATGAAAAAAGAAAATATATCAGCAGTCATTTTTTTTTTTATATTAGCATGCTGGCTAATCGCAAGCTAATCTGAAAGCTAGGAATGCTAACGAGCCAACGGTTAGTAGGTGAATTAGCTTTTTCATCAGGCTAATAAGCTACTTGTTGGTAAATTAATTAAATTATTGGTAAACTCGTTAGAAGCCCCATTTTTAGTTTTTAATTCAAGTGGGATTATTGTACACATTGGAGTACAGCTAGCCATATTACCAATGAGCTAATTAGCAGGCTACAAGGCTAATTAGCAACAGTTCTGGTGAGTGATTTCTCTCAACATTTGTAGATGATAAATATATCCCAAAAATCTAATAAATCAACAGCTAACATGTGAATATTCATATAGCTTACAAGCTACCTGCTAGCCAAGCAATTAGCGGTCTGTTGGTGAGCTGATTGACAAGATTTTTGCCGATCAATCGGACTACTGTTAGCTTCATTAGCACCCTGGTGGTGAGCTAATTAGCCAGACATTTTGGTGGTGAATTCAGCCAACTGTTAGCCTTATTAGCATCCTGATAGATGGTTAATTAGCTGCCTGTTGCTAGCTCAAACAGGATAGTGGCTAACTAGTCTCAGTTGAAAGCCAAACTGTCTGTCAGAAGACTTGTTAACAATTTCCTGAAAGATTATTAGCAGGCTGATGCTAGGCTAACTAGCTGTCATTGGTAAGCTAACTCGGGAAGACTTTTTGTTTATACATTTCAGACTACTGTTAGCCTCATTAGCACACTGCTAGCAGGCTAATGATCAGCAAACAGGAAGGCGGTTACCTCAGATTGTAACTGGCGGGTAGTTGATAGCTAAATGTCAAGGACATATTAACGAGTTGCTGAGCTAATTAGCATGCTGTTGTCGGGCGGAGTTTGTTAGCTGGTGGCGGCGCGGCGGACGGGACGCGCTGATCCCGCCAGTTTGATCCTGCGCAGGTGTTGTTGTGAAGGAATGATGCAGGAAGCTTTAGTTAATCTCTTTAAAAAAACAACAAAATAAATCCTTTAACGCTAAAACTCAGTCCTGGAATCGTCGTGTGAGCAGGCGTCCGTGTTGGAGGTCGATTTTTTAGTTTCCTGTTGGCTTCGCTGCTTCCTTCGCGGCTTTGCGGCCTCGAAGAGGGGGAGGGTCGGGGAGATATTTTAGGGGAGAGAGGGGGGGTTTTGAGGTCAGGATTCAGAGATTTCAGTCCTTTCTGACCTTCCTGTTCCTGGGAGATCTCCGCAGAACGTCGTCCTCAAGCTTCTGCACGGAGAGAGAGTTCGGGGTTAAAATCCTTCATGGGGGTCAATGGGAAAGTGTATTAGGGCCATTGAGGGGTTAAACAATTAGAATAAGTAAGGAGCTGGGGAGCGGGGTAAAAAGTATACAATAAATCCTCTTAGTTTACAATAATTCAACTATCAACAAAAAAACTAAAAATTAGTGTGTTTAAAAATCCCTTAAAAAAAGTTTGACATAAATGAGGCCAGATCAATATTTGGTGTTTATAATAAAGTCCTAAATGTGAGATAAAACCTCAGAAACTCCAAGATTTAAGTTGTTATGTTGTGAGTAAAGTTCAATGAAATTAGGAGATAAAAAAGGGAGTTTGTTTGGTGAAAAAAAACAGACACGCACACACACACACACAGGAACAGACAGACACACAGACACACACACACACAGGAACAGACAGACAGACAGAAAGACAGACAGACAGACACGCACTCAGGAGCACACACGAACAGACAGACACACAGAAATTTGAAGTAAAAAGGAAATCCAGAAATTCTATAAAAGCCAACCCACTAATCTACATGTTTTCTGTTTTAAAATACACAAATTTAAACTACATTTATTCAGTTTTTTGGGGGTATTTGACCCCCCTCTCCAGGACTGTTTAACAAATACACCAACTGGCCTCTTTAATCCCTACAATGGTCCTAATACAGTATATTCAGAAAGGAAAGTCTGAGTCAGAGTCATGTGGAGAACTCACTTTCCTGGCTGTTTTCTGAAGCTTTCTGAAAAACCAATTCACATCAAATCATTCTCCGTGCTGCAGACCAAACAATGAACTGCACCTGAATGCATCATCTCAGTGACTCAGTGTTCCTCACCTCTTCGGCCGTTTCCTCCTCTTCCTCCTTCTCTGCCTCCTCTTCCTCCTTCTCTGCAGGACTCTCCTCTCCGTCGCTCTTTCCTTCTGCAGCTGAGGAGGAAACACAACATGTAAACACAGCTAGGAGACAAAATGCTACTTAGCCTGAGTTTAATATTTGTATTATTATCATTTGTTTACGTCACTTTTATTTGTATTTGGTGTTCTGCTTACTTATGTCACCTGTTACACGACAGAGGGTGATTTTGCGCTGACATTTTTTCTACATTTTTGTGTGACATTAAATATCTTCAACCTTTCGAACAATACCTTGTGTTGGGAAACTAGCGAATGTTCCTTGTGTATCAGAGTAGATAACAGAGGTGTGTACGTAGCCGGATGTCTGACTACACGGAAGACGCTCATGAGACACGGTGTTGAAGTCATGAGAGCTCTGTTCCTTGGTATGATGACTGTCATGCTTATTGCTCACGCAGGCCTTAGCTGATCTGAGCTAATGTCAGAATACAGCTTTGAACCGGCATCTTGTTGACTAACACCCTCTCTTGCATATCAACGACTAATTCTTGTTCTACTTTTACGTATGCGCCACAACACCAAGTCAACCGACATGGTGATGAACCCGATTCTGAGCTTCAGTATTATTGGACTTTCTCATTGAAAACGCGTCGCAGCATAAAGACACGTTTAGCCTCTCAGCGACTCACATTTAAACGGGAATTGATCCGGCACACAAACAGTTATTTAATCTGTGTGCTGTGATTATTCCTTCGTACCTGGCAATGAACCTGGTTCTGAGTGAGTCTGTCCGTCCGTCTGTAAGTGTGTGGGTGTGGCTGTGTGTGTGGCTGTGTGGGTGTGTGTGTGTGTGTGTGTGTGTGTGTGTGTGTGTGTGTGTGTGTGTGTGTGTGTGTGTGTGTGTGTGTGTGTGTGTGTGCTGTGTGTGTGTGTGCTGTGTGGGTGTGTGTGTCTGTGTGTGTGTGTCTGTGTGTGTGTGTGCTGTGTTTACCTGGACTGCTCTTCTCCTCCTTCTCCTCCTTCTCCTCCTCCTCCTCCTCTTCCTCCTCAGCCTTCTCCTCCTCCCCCTCCTCCTCCTCTTCCTCCTCCTTCACATCAGGCTGAGCTTCGTCGGTCTTCTTGTATTCGGCCGCCGGCGTCTCTCCGGTCTTCTTCTGCAGAAACAAAGAAAACACAGGAGATATGTTCAGTTCAGATTCACCGCCTCCCAAAGCGCTTTCAGAGTCGCGTTTGAGGCAGAAAACTAAGATTAGTGCATGATTTTATATATTTAATACCAATATTTGGTTCTTTTGGTTTGTAAAAAGGTTCAGCGGTCGTGTAATGATGTTTTTTAAATATCTAAATGAACGTTTTCACATAGAAATCTATTTGCACAACACTAAAAGCGGTTTGAATTTGGTGTTGGTTTCACTTGTTGTGTGTGCATATCCATCCATCCATCCATCTTCTCCCGCTTATCCGTGGTCGGGTCGCGGAGGTAGCAGTTCCAGCAGAGAGCCCCAAACTTTCTTTTCCCTGGCCACATCAACCAGCTCTGACTGGGGGATCCCAATGCGTTCCCAGGCCAGCGAAGAGATATAATCCCTCCATCTGGTTCTAGGTCTACCCCTTGGTCTCTTCCCAGCTGGACGTGCCTGGAACACCTCCCTAGGGAGGCGCC